TGGCAGGTTTCTAAAAATAATGCCAACCTTACATTTAAAATTAAAAAAAAAAAATGAACCAGGTCGCGTCAGTCAAACTGATATAAATTAATTAAATTATAAAATTTATCTTATATTCTACGTGGAAGATTGTCCACATTTCAAGTTTTTTATTCGACTCCGGAGGAAGAGCTACGTCCGGTCTACGCACCTAATAAATTTTCACAAACGAGGCACTAATTTTCTATCTGGTGACCTATTGTTCTTCATTTAATATGAACAACACCTCTTATGCCATTTTCAACCATTTTTGCTAGTGCATTCACCTTGCAATTTTTAAGTGGTTTCAAAACTTACTTCACTTCCTTAAGGATTTAAAGGTAAATCACTTTGTTTTTAAGATTTTCAATCAATTTTAGATTTAATTTGTTAGTCGTACAGGCATCTTTTGTGCATTGCATGCGGTTCACAAAGGGTTTGGAGCTCTTAAGATTTAGAATTTTTTTAATTTGTTTATATTTGATTTGTCTTTCATATAAGATAATTTTTATAAGGTTATACTATTATTTTAGGTTTGATTTACATTTTTTTTCATTTTTACATGAAATTTGTATATTCATTTTCAATATTTACTATAGAAAATTTTACATTTCCATTATTAATAAATTTTTGTAGGAACTTTGTATTAGTAATAAAAATATGATGGGTAGCTTATATATATAATATGGACATCCATACTCAAAGGCATTGGATGTGTAGTAAACTATTACATGGAGAAAAACTTCTAACAATTAAATTCTTTAATGTAGTAGAATATTTCATTCACATTACCTCTCAATTGTCTTCATTTTAATTAGATGGAAAATTTTGGTACCCTTGCTCAAAGTATATAAATCATGTATACATTACACCTAATGAGGTTAGACTTGATTTATACCCAACAGACACACTATTCTAGCACCAAGAAACTATACTTGAATTATCCATGTGATTTATTTTTAAAATTTATTATTATTATTAATATGTGTAGCTTCCAACCCAATTATAAGTATTGGACTTTGGATATAGAGTACAAGCTACATTTTGACTTTTAATTCAATCCTTCAACACGTTACACAATAATATATGAATGAAATGCTTGAACATGTGAAGAGAAGGTATTTAATGTAGTTAACCCTCAATTTTGAGAATATAGAAAGGAGCCATTTAAAATTCATTCACATAACTTCTACAAATTACTACATGAAGCTAAGAAAAAAATTGGTGTACCACTCATTCTGAGTTATCTATCACCCTTAAGATGCTCAGTATAAAGATATATTATAATATTCCTCAAGAATATTACAATCTATTTGTCAAACTACTAATAAAAACTAATCGAGCATACATATTATTCTACTAAATTTATATAGAATAAAGCAGTTAGTATCAAAACTGGGATTGTTTGCTAAAAAATATTAGGCTTTAACTACTAAATAAATTTGGCTCAATAGCTATAATATCTCGGTGAATGCAGCAAAAGATTATTTCTATTTAACTATGAGTGGTTTGATCCAATGTTAAGTAGAGGTATTAGGTTGCATAACCTATTTGTTCTATTGAAGTAAAAAAGAACAAGTTGGTATGCTAAATTTGACCCATTCATTATAGTGCACCAAGCAACTCAGGCATACTATGCAATAAATTCAACTAGAGTTATAAACAAATTGGATTGGTATGTAACCATCATAACTAAGCTACATGGTGTTGAAAGTTATGATATTATATCAGTGGGGCACTAAGAAGAATAAAATGTTTTATTCACTACAGGAAAACAGCCCATTTCCGACTGAATTTCCGGCGAAAAAAAATTCGTCACAAATTCCGGCGGATTTTCCGGCGGATTTCAGACGGAAAATTGATAACAAATTTTTGTCATATTTTTTGACTGGTTTTCCGATGGATTGTTTTTGAAGGAATTTTCGACGGATTTCTGACAAAAATTAAAAAAATTAAGTTATATTTTAATAACTTATTGTCAAATTAAATATTTTATATTTTAAAAAATAACTTAAACTCGGGCGGGGCTGGTTCCAGCTGGGCTCGGGTGGGCGGAGCGGGCTCCGGCAGCGCTTACAATCCGGCGAAAAAAAATCACTTTTTTTAATTTTTCTTGACATTCCGGAGGAATAAAATTCCCCTGGAAATATTTTTCTAGCGGAAAATCTGTCGGAAATACGTTGGAAATGTTTCCGGCGAAATATTTGCACCGGAAATCCTTTTCTGACGCGCGTTAAACCGGCGAAAATATTTCTGCCGAAAATCCGCCGGAAATGCACATTTTTGACGGATTTTATCCATTTTTTCGGTGAAAATGGCCGCCGAAAAATAACAATTTTCTTGTAATGATTCTGAGGAACCTTCAACTATTTTTGATGACCCATTATATACATTAGTTGGCAGTGATTCACAATGGGAGAAGATTGAAAGCCATAGTGAGGAAAGCAGAGAAAGTGAGTTAGTTGGCCAACAAAGTTCTAGTACAAGTGATTCAACATCGAGTGATGAGCTCAAATAATTTGTAATTTTTTGTATAAATTCTTGCAACTTAATTTATTCAAATGAATTTAACTATTATATGTTATATGTCATTTGCATTATATAATTTCTATTTTTTTTTCTTTTGATTATATGTTCATTTCATTACTTTGATTCATTATGTCTTTTTATTTTACTTGCACATATGATATATAGGGATGAATAACCTTAGAGTTCCATCACATCAACTTTTGGTTAGTAGAAGACGCTAACTATATGACCATTGAGATCTAATAGTACTAACATCTTATCAGAATCCCAACCTCCTACACCTTTAACTCCTAGCCCTATTAGTACTAGACCATGCTTCCCTCAATATATCCTAAACAAACTACAATTATCTATCAATATCAAACATTAAGTAAAGATGTTTATTGTTATAATTAATATACTAAATATTTTCATATGTTTCCAATGACCTGCATTTAACTTATGCATCTTGCTTTTGTAGAAATAAGGCACTTGACAGGAACATACTCTATTTACATTACATACACATGTAGATTAATGTTAGGAAGATCAATAATAGGTAGATCAAAAGTCTAAGAAAGTCTATATAAGTATACGAATTTATATTGAAATTATGTTTATAGTTTATTTTTATATATTTCATATGTTTCAAGAGAACTATGTGAGTACATGATGAATGGACATAACCTTATGCTGGTGAGAGATCATTTGTGGAATAAGGGGCAGGAGGAGGAGGAATTTTGGCCCCTATTCTAGGGCCCTGGGGAGCTATTTAGGAATGTTTTAATTTTGTTTATTGTGTTATGGCAATTTAAGGGGGTGTTTTGTCTTGGGTTTACATCTTATGTGTGTTAAATTTATTTTTTCTCTATTGGGTTTAACACTGCCGTTGTCAGGTCCCAAGTCCTGGATGAGAAAAGTGGAGGGTTGCGTTAGGTAGTCAACAGTCAGCGTAAAACTTGTCGAACAATAATGACATGAATCCTTTAAGAAATTGTTTTGACTTTTAATAGGACACAATGGAGAAAAAGGATTCATGTAGCCGACCCCACGTAGTGGGATAAAGGCTTGATGTTGTTGTTGTTGTTGTGGTGTGAGTTGCTTAGCTGTGGCTAGGATTTGTGGGAGAACCGATCTACCATTCAAATAGTAGATCAATTATACCTTTCATTATTGTTGAAGGAGTAATAAGAAATCAACACTATATTTGTCTTCTTGCATTTTCTTCTTATCTATTTTGCTATCTTTGATTTCAAATTGCATCAAATTATTCAAGATATTTTAAAAGGAGTTTTGGCGCAAAACCTCACTATTACTTTAAAGGAGTTTTGGAGGAACCACCTACAATTATAGAAGTCTTTGGAGATAAAACCCTAATTTAAAAGGAACATGTCCAATCTAAAGATTTCCTTGAATGAGAACAAGAATGTCAGTGATTCCTTCTTTTTTGTTAGCATAAGTTGGCATGCCTTAATCATTTACTCAATAAAAGAGATATTTTTATAATTTTCTATTTTTTGGAAATTAATACATGAAGATATAAGAGAATCAAGTAAATATATATTCAAATTTCTTAAGAGTTCGGTCCAAGCAAAATATGCCTAGTTTGAGGCAATTCGATGGAATAAGAAGAATGAAGACAGTGAATTCCCTGTACCTGAATAAACTAGTCAAGTTCATAATGAACTTAGCAGACTCATATTGAACTCATACAAGTGCATTTAATTTAAATATCAACCAAGTTATTTGTCCAAGAATAGAACCTAATTGCCTATATTATACTCAACCAATCGATTACTTTGCCTAGTAAGTTAATCGCCTTGGCAAATTCAACCTTCAAGTTGGCGACTTCTACCAATGACTACCAATGTGTCAATTGTCATGTGTATTTTATAATTTTGGCTACATGCATATTGTATTCTGATACACTTCTCTTATCTTTATATATATTTTTTATAATGCCGAAAATCTTAACCCTAACTTGCAGCGAGCTAAACAATTTTGATGTATGAAGTTTTGGCCACTCAAATTTATATGTTTGGTTATTTAATGAATTATAGTTCTTCTCTTAGATGTGCACTCTTTCTTGTACATTTTGTAAATAAGATTCTAGTACACCCACGAACAACTTGTGATCCAAAATGAGCGAAGAATAGCCTATAAGTATAACTATTTGAGAGAAACACAACAAGGAGGGGGGTAAAAAATTGCGTAAAATTATAATTTCTTCATTGAATATAGCACATATCAATCTTGCTTATAAGAAATCACCTCTATAAGGATCTGAGCAAAAATACTCAAAAAGATTATATTTAAATAAAAAAATATAAATTATAAACTCACGCACGGTAAGCAGAAGACAGGCGCAGTAAAAATCAAAGCTCCCAGCAGCTAAATTAAGCCAAACTATTTTAAATTAATTTATATTATATTAAATAAGTGTGGTAGCTTGCCCAAATAGAGCTAAATGCATGGTAAACAATATGCAACCAGTAATTTCTCCATCAAACCCCCTGAAGTTTTTCCTCAATCGCTCATAACGAGCTCGTTGTCTCCGAAATACGTGGAGGTGATCTCGGAAACCTTCTCCCGTTCGCTCCGTCTACCTCCCTTTTGCTCTCTATTTTTGGTTGTTGCTTTTTTCCTTGTTTGGAGATCAGCACAGATTAAGCAGCTATGCCCACCTCGAAGCGGCTGTCTCACTCCGCTTCTGGAGGCGGACTTCAAAGGAGCAGAGCCAGCGCCGGTAGATGCCGACTTCCTGTTGTGCTCCTTCTCTTCCTTTCTATCCTCGCTCCGTTGCTCTTCCTCGCAGGTCGGAGTGTCCGCGCACCGATCTACTCGGGTGAGCTGCTTTTCTCTTACGTACTTGTGTTTTGCATCCATCTTTTTCATAACTTCTGTGTAACAGGTGATGTTTTTTTTTTCTTTTCGATCAAAATATTAATGTTGGCCAAAAGTGATTTGGGGAAGCCTCTGTTTTTGAACTAATGTCAAGAAATCGCTCAAAGAACGTTGAATGCAGTTATTGAGCGTTTGGATTTAACTAGCTGATTTTTTAAACTAACTCGATCTGTTTTTGGATGGCACATACATCATCCTACTTTTTGTAAAATTTCACGGGTTTTAAATTGATTTGCTATGTTCTTGGTAAGATATCCTTAAACATAAACTGGTAAGAGATTGTCTGGTTGAAAATTTTCCAAATAGCTTCAGCATTACTTCATGGTCACGATCTCCTAACTTTTGGTGATGATCCCAGCTTTTGATACACTAGTTTGCAGGAAATTTCTTGCGTATCTTGATGCCTTATTGTGGAAATGCTTTTCTTCGGGGGATGTTAGTTTTTTCTAAAATGTTTGGAAAGTAAACATGTTTTATTTGTTCGACTTGCTGCAAGTGTTTTATTTTCATTAGGACAACCTGTTATTCATTTTACGAACGCTCTGATGAAAAGGAAAAAAAATGCAGTCAATTTTTCAACATTTTTTTTGCATGGTTCTGTTTGCACAACAGTGTTTTTTATGCTATAATTACATTCCATTAGTTATTATGCTTTTGCATAATGCAACCTTTTGTATCTCCTTTGAGCTTTATTTTTATATATTTCAATTTGATTTGAAGGATGCTCCACCTTTTGTATATAATTAGAAATTTTGATGATCTGCCGTCTTGGATGTTAGGAATTATTGTCCATCTGACCTAATTAAGGTCATCTAGGAAATGTTCATGTTTACTAATTTTAGTATAACAGACTTGCATGTCAATGTTAGTGCATAACTTCATAGTTGTTAACGAGATCCGGTAATCACCATACCACCAAAGCATAACCAACTTGTGGTTACAGATAGTTCGCACGTCATCCATGATTACCTTAGTTTGAAGAACTACTTATCTATATTTCAGTTATTCTAATTTATATATATGTACCTGTAAGGATTTCTGTAGGTGTGTGAAAAACTAAGATGAAATAGGAATGTTTTAGTGGCTTATAGTTCACGGTTTTCTATGCATTTGATTTTTCACTTTCTTCTTACTTGCTTAGTCTTTCATGGTATCAGAGCTCCTATAAGCCTCACGGCTCTTCTTCTTGTTAGCTTGTCATTATTCCAATGGAATCAGGAAATTCTTCTACAGTCGAGAGCATCACTGATGCTTCTCATCTAGTTGACAACGCTACAAACCTGCCCTAGTTGAAGTTCTTCATGTCTACCATCAAGAATGTTATCACAGTCCAACTTACTCCAGAGAATCATCTTACATGGTGGTCGCAAATTCTAAAGGTGTTCCGCGCAAATGGTTTCGAAGGTTATATGGACAGGCACCGTATGTCGACCTCCCTGACAAATATCTTTAGAAACATGTCATGTAATCCCTAACCCACTTTACAACACATGGATGTTAATCGACCAGAACTTAGCCGCTGCCCTCTTCTCCACTGTTTCTGCACCTCTGCTACCTTATGTACTTAATTTGGACTCTTGCTCAGAGATTTGGCAAACGATTATTAAATGTTCACAATCTTCCAATCGGTCCAGGATCATTCAGATTAAAAATGATCTTCATCACATTACAATGGCCAATAAGACAATGCAACAATATTTATCTAAAATAAAATTGAAGGTAGACACTCTAATTGCTGCTGGTTGTACACTGGACACAGAGGATGTAATCATATATACATTGAATGGTTTGCCCACCTCATATCAATCGTTTAAAACGACAATCCGTACAAATCTTCCGCCGCTTAGCCCAGATGATTTTTATCCTCTATTATGTAGTGAAGAGACAAATCTAGAGAACGAAGCTGCACGCGCCATTCATTATGTTTAGTTTTTTGAAGCCCTCATTGCACTTGTGGCATCGTCCAAACACTGTCACATAATTGAAACTGCTCGTACTCTTTTAATACAATCTCATTTACCTACAATTTTTTGGGTTGAATCTGTGTTAACGGCCACATATTTAATAAACTGTATTCCTTCTCTCACTACAAATTCTGTTTCTCCATATCAACTTCTATACAATCATCCACCATCTTATTCTCATCTCAAAGTTTTTGGGTGTTTATGCTATCCATGGCTTCAACCAACAAATCAACATAAATTTGCTCCTAAATCTTCAGCTTGTGTTTTCTTTGGATATAGCTCCAATCATAAAGGATATCGTAGCTATCACATCCAGAACCACAAAATTCTGATCTCTCGCCATGTTCAGTTTCATGAGCTGATTTTTCCTTTTATTTCATCAACACCTACGCCTCTTACATCTTCAAATTCTACTTCAAATACTATTACATCTCCTCTAACTTTCGTCCCTTATCCAACCCCTCAGCTACACTCAAATACCTCAAATAGCATTCAACCATCACCTAAATCTCCACTAATCTGAACTATAGCTGTTCACCCAACTGAGTCTCCCTCTTAAATACAACCTACGGTTTTAACTCCTCCACAACATTCTCCTCCTCTGCCTACCCGACACCCTATGCTGACTCGTATGAAAACAGGGAAGCTAAAACCCAAAATAATGTTAAATTTTCAACATTTGCTTGTTGACAATAATGATCCGACTTTTTTTTTCGGCTGCCATTAAACACCAATGCTGGCTTGATGCTATGTCAAAAGAGTTTCAGGCTCTACAATCAAGGAACATGGCATCTTGTTGAACCGCCATCTTCGTAAACCATTTTGTGTTACAAATGGATTTACAAAACAAAAAGGCATTCAGACGGTTCAATTGCTCGCTACAAAGCTCGCCTAGTAACACAAGTCTATCGTCAAGAGTACAATATAGATTATACCGAAACTTTCAGTCCAGTGGTGAAATTACCAACTATTCGTCTCTTCATTACTGCAGCCACTCAAAGAAATTGGCAAATCACTCAATTGGTTGTCTCAAATGCATTTTTACATGGGGATTTAGATGAGATTGTCTATATGCATCAACCACCTAGTTTCAAAGACTCTCAGTATCCAAACTATGTTTGCCAATTACATAAGGCAATTTATGGCCTTAAGCTGGTTTGCTAAACTTACTACACATTTATAAACCTTGGGTTTCCGGTATAGTGATGCTGACCCATTTTTGCTTATCTACAATCATAACTCTCATCTCATATATCTCCTAGTATATGTTGATGATATTTTGCTAACCGGAAACAACTCGACCACTATTTTTGACTTGCTTCGCAATCTGCACCAACAGTTTCAGTTACACAATTTGGGCAATTTAAATTATTTTCTGGGTATACAAGCAATTTCCACATCTAAAGGTTATCATCTAAATCAATCTAAATATGCTTTGGACATTCTTCATCAAGCAAGAATGAAAAATTGTAATCCAGTCGTTACTCCCTTTCCTTTAAAATTAGTTTTAGAAAATGCTTCATCAACACTATTTGAAAATACTGAATTTTTCCGACATCTAGTTGGTGCTTTGCAATATTTAACAATAACACGACCAGATCTAACTTATGCAGTTAATAAGTTGTGCCAATTTATGCATTCTCCTATGCAACATTTTCAAGCACTCAAGCACCTACTTCGTTATGTTAAAGGAACAATAGAGTTTGGTCTTCTAATAAGCAAAAACTCCTCCACTTTTTGTGCTTATGCGGATTCTAACTGGGCTGGTGATCCTCTTCATAGAAAATCAACAATTGGCTATTGTTTTTTTCTTGGAGAAACTTTACTTTCTTGGTGTGTTAAGAAGCAACCTACGGTTGCTCGTTCTTCAACAAAAGCTGAATATCGTGCTTTAGCTACGGCTGCCATTGATATTATTTTGATTTGTCGTCTATTGGTTGATTTTCAATTTTCTATTTCAGCTCCTACATCTCTTTATTGTGACAATGTTTCGGCTATCATACTTGCTCACAATCCAGTGTTTCATGCACGTACTAAACATATAGAAGTGGATTACCATTTTATTCGTGATTACATAAAGTCTGCTGCTATTATTGTTCACCATATCAATACTTAGGATCAAATTGCTGATATTTTCACCAAACCTCTTCCTCGTATTTGGTTTGCAACTCTTTGAGCCAAGCTCCTGGTCTCTCCCGCACCATCCGCTTGCTGGGGACTGTTAACGAGATCCAGCAATCACCATACCACCAAAGCATAACCAACTTGTGGTTACAGATAGTTCGCACATCATCCAGGATTACCTTAGGCTGAAGAACTGCTTATCTATACTTCAGTTATTCTAATTTATATATATGTACTTGTAAGGATTTCTGCAGGTGTGTGAAAAACTAAGATGAAATAGAAATGTTTCAGTGGCTTATAGTTCACGGTTTTCTCTGCATTTGATTTTTCACTTTCTTCTTACTTGCGTAGTCTTTCAATAGCAACAAAGGTAAATCCTTTTGTGAATTTCATAATGATCTAACTAACTCAATTGTGGTTAAGTCACATACATTGTCTGTAGAAAAACTTTGATCTACTTCATTTCCTTATCTATAAATTTTGCATTGTTAGACTTCATACTATTTTCTTTATTTCATCTTTGGAAGTAGTTATTGTGTACTGAAAAAATCAATGCGAGCAATTCTAGGACTTGCTTAAACGGAACTATAAATTTTGAACCATTTCAATTTTTTTTTGCTTGGTTGCAAGAATTAACATAATATTTTCCTTGGCAGATCAGAAGGGTGTGTCGAACTTATCAAGTAAACAGGTATATTTCCTTTCAAGTCAGCAGATTACCTCTCACATTATAAAAAAACCTAAGTATTCATTGTACCTGAGACTTTTTGATAGATTCTAGACTGGAAAGAACAACCAGCTGTGCAAAAGTTGAAGTCTATTCTTACAAAAGAGGTTAGTTACTCTGATGAATGAACTGTTTAACTTCTTACCTATGGTTCCTCTGGTATTACTGAAGCCTTTCTTCCCATCCCTCGAAGCAGACATTATAAAATTGAAAATGGTAAGTAGAATATATATATATTTTTATAAAGTAAATTGAATTAAATATTCTTTCACTTGTAGTTGGCTTCTTAAAGCCAATTGATGTAGGACATTTTAGGCTATCGAACTTAATAATGCAAATCAATCATGAGATACGTAAAAAAGCTCACCAATGATCACAATTTGTAGTTTCTAACTTTAATTGAAGCAAATATTAGGCACTTTCAATCCAAAATCTAAAAATGCATATCATGCATTCTAAACGATAATGTAATGTTGCCAAAATTGGAAAGTTTCATGAGAAATCTGGAAACAAATCTAAAAGTTTATAATGATTAAGAGTAACAGTATAAAAATATAATTAATATGTATTATACTAAACAAATTTGCAATCATGCACACACATCATTCACTAAATAGTGCATGAGAAAGAACACTTATATGAATCACTAATTGGAAGATTTAGGCCTTATGACAATATGAGGAGAATTTTCTCTTGGAAGTTATTGTTAATGCTTGTAAATGCTCAAAGAATGCACATTGTAAAACACACAAAATTGAGAGGAAATTTGAATTTTATCAAAACCATTCAATTATATATGTATAGGGGGATTACATATATAACACTCAAAACTCTCTCATTTAAACATTTATAGGTAAACTTTAATATTTACAAATTCTATTTCATTCGTTAAATTTGTTAGCCTTGCCCTAGTGCTGTCTTTTGATTATGTTAGGCTTGTTGATAGGTGGCCCTAGCAAGTTTCACTGCAACATCCTTTTCCTTTCATGGTCCTATTAATGCATCACCTTAACGAGCACTGTCGCGGCTTCCTTATGCTTTGTTGAGGAGGATTTTGAGAATTAAAAGATGGGGTTACGTAGTGTTAGCATCCCGTCAAGATCCGCTGTACATAGAGGTGGCAATGAGACTGATTTAGTGCAAAGGTGGCAATGGGACAAATGATGTGCAAAGATGTAATGAGATTTGGATGGTGCGACGGGGTAAGTGATATTTTTGCTCGTATAAAAACCTTTTGGTGTTATTTGAGTTAATAAAGAAGTTTAGGTGTTAAATATGTAAATTGAAAAGTCTCGAGTGCTATGTATGTAAATCCCCCTAATTTATATGCCTATAGGATCCTATGTATAGCTCAAAAAAGATTCAAAGTAACTTTTTAAAATCCCCCAGCGTAATAATGTAATGCTTCAATTTACCAAACTTAGACTCTAGCAAAAAACTTCAAGTTTTCAATCTGATCCAACAAGATAAACGACTCTTGGTTTTTCAGCCGTAGTGTGAGGATTTTCAGAGATGAAAAGTATTGACATCAGATACATTAGTTCCTAGCGAGTACGAATACAACCAACTTGTGGTGAAGATATAAGCTACAGCCCGGTCACATAATCAACAAGAATGCCATGAACCGAAAAATGCTACAGTATCAAACACCAGAAATAGAAGGAAAATAGGCAGGCGAATACAGTACCCAAAATCAGCTATTATTGGTCCCACTACTGTAAAAAACTGGGACCACTACTGTAAAAAACTTGGAGCCATGTAAGAAAGTAGCAGTAGAACAAAGCTATAATAGAACCTGGTCAAAGAAGGACACCAGCACAAACACATGAACAAAGAGATTCCAAATCAACAGCTTCCTTCAAATAAAATGTAATTATCCAATTCATGCTATGATCCAAGCATCAAACCACTTGCAAAAAGACTCAAAAATGGAACGTCCACGTATTGAAGTCAACTAACGATTGTAACCAACAACAAACTAAACAAAAGCAGAGAATCATTATGTTCTGAAATAGGGAATTGGAAACAGTGAACTAAAGAATCCAAGAACTGAATTGAAACAACTTATAACAATAAATTCAACCTAACACGCCAATAAAACATTAGTGAACATCCCATACACTGAAATGAACTAATAACATATAAAATAAGGCATCAGGACAACTAAGATAATATCAACACATATGATTTGAGTTTCATGTGAGTTAAAACTTTTAGATTGTATAATTCAATCTGAATTAAAAGGATTCATATTTGACAAATTAATAATTTGATTGTTGTCATGCCAATCTGGATAAAATTGATTTGTTTCCTACAAAGTAATCAACGAATCATCACAAGTAGGCCTACAATCCCAGAGCACAAAAAATATTTGAGATGCACCATCAATGATGGACATAATTCTGAAATATAAGATAGCTTTTGGAACTAAATAAGTAGATCAATCTAGTGAAGGTGTTGGATGTGAATTCAGGAGGAGATGGAAATATAAAATAATCCATAACATTTGTACTAAGTTCATGATGTAAACTCATATAAAAAATGTTAAAGTTTATAATGAGACCAGAGATTTTCTTATTACTATTTATCCTAATATTTTTTATGGTTTTATATGGACCCGGTTTTTTTATTTCTTAAAATGACTCCCATAAAAGCCTTTAGGATTTAGATGTGCTATTATCTTATCACCTAATTGAATTTGATAAGAAATACTTGAGTTCACAAGTATTCCTAAGGGAAATACTTGAGTTCGCAAGAAATCCTAACAATAATTGGCAAAACAGCGGGGAAACATAAGAACTTTGATGCACAAAACTCTCCAAAATAGTAGATTGCAATATAGGAAGAAAAACAAGACAAGAACAAAGCAAAAATACAAGTGATCCTCGATTCAAGAGGAGGATCGGTCTTTTCCAATCTCTAGACAAGGAATCTAGAGCCCAAAACACCCCAAAAAAAGCTACAAGAGAAACAAATCTAAGCATGCCTTCACCCTTCCACTTCATACCTATTTATAATCCTCACCCCTAGCCAAAACCGCCCCTCCCCTTGCCTAAAATACATTTTTTTTTTAAATTAATTCAAATAGGCGTGGACCCCTATGCTAGGCAGCAACTCAAGGGAGGCGATTTGAACCACCTCCTGTAAACCATTACCAACATAGGTGTGGCCGGCTGGGTCGGTTCCGGATGAACCGACCTCTTAGTCGATTTTGGATGAACCGATCTATCAATGCCGCCTTCCCAAAGATCCATCTTGTCCTCAAGGTGGAAAGAAGGAGATTGATGCTTTACCCGCTCATATAGATCCCAGGTCGCCTCATAATTCTGGAGATCTTTCCACTTGATTAACACTTCCTTTATCCCTCCCTCTCTTTAGTGCACCCCTTATAACTCACAGGATTCCAAAATCACTTCTAAGTCTTATGTTAAAGTGCTGGCAACTCAGATCCGGTTGAACAATCTTCAATAGCTCGTTTCAGCTGAGACACATGGAAAATTGGGCGTATAGTTGCTGTTGGTGGTAGCTTTAGCCGATATGCTACCGCCCCAATTTTTTCCAATACTTCGTAAGGTCCAAAGTACCTTGGAGCGAGCTTCTCATTCCTTTTGTTGGCCATTGTCTTCTGCCTGTAGGGTCGGAGTTTTAAGAAGACTTCGCCAACTTTGAACTGGACGTCCTTCCTATGTCAATCAACCTATTGTTTCATAATCTGTTGAGCTCTCAGAGGGTGTTTCTTTAGTTCTTCTAACACTCTGTCTCTTTCCTCCAAGTATTCCTCTACTGTAGACACGGGAGTGCTGTTACTCCCAAAGTGTATCAAGTAAGGAGGATCCCTTTCTTACAACACCATTAAGGGGGTCATCTGAGAAGCAGAATGATAAGAAATGTTGTACCAATATTCTACCTATGGCAACCATTTGGCCCATAGCTTAGGTTTCTCCAACATGAAGCACATCAAATAGGTCTCCAAGCTCCTGTTAACCACTTTTGTTTGGCCATCTGTCTGTGGGTGGTAGACAATACTCCTCTTTAGAATTGTTCACTATAATCTAAACAACTCCCTTCAGAAATGGCTGAGGAATACATTGCCTCTTTCTGATACTATTGCTTATGGAACTCCATGTAATCTTACCATCTCCCTGATGAAAGCTATTGCCACTATAGTTGCGGTGTAAGGGTGCTGTAAAGGAAAGAAGTGTGCGTACTTGCTGAGTCTATCCACCACTACCATAATGACTGTGAATCCTTCTGATCTTGGGAGTCCATCTATAAAATCCATAGACACTTCCTCCCATACCCTGTTTGGAAGTGCCAAGGGTTGTAGCAGTCCTCTTGGAGCCATTGTCATATATTTGTTTCTTTGGCACATTTCACACTTTGCCACCATTTCCTCAACATCTTTGTACATCTCATTCCAATAAAGCTTGGATGCCATCTTTCTATAAGTCTTATGGACCCTTGAATGTCCTCCAATTGCACTTCCGTGGAACTCCTGCAATAAGTGGGGAATGTATATTGAATTTCGTGGCATCACAAACCTCCTTTTATGCAAAAGTCTTCCCCCTTCAAGATGGTATCCCATGTGGTTATTCTCACCTTTCATCAAATCTTCTCTAATCTTTTTCAACTCCTCATTCTGCATACTCTCTTCCTTGATGGCTCCCTAGACTACCATTAGTGGTAATGAAAAAGCCAACTCCTGAAGCTCTCCCACACATTTGGATAAAGTATCTACCGCTTTATTTTTCAAGCCCGGTTTGTACTGGATTTCAAAATCATAGCCCCTATTAGCTTGGAAAACCACCTCTGATGCTCCTCAATCATTATTCTCTGCTCCAACCAATGTTTAAAATTGCGTATTCAGGTATTGAGGCGTTTTTTATTCGTGAGGCGAGGCGTAAGCCTCAAGGCGTTTTGAGACGTAAGCCTCCAAATCAAAAGATTGCGTAAATATAAAATGATAAATTTGTTATATACTAATGAGTGAATAATATAAAATATAAAAAAGCATAAGATATGAAGTGAAATCAAAATATCTCAATAATAAGACAACATGAAATATAGTTCAACTCAAAATTCTATCTTTCTGAAATCCCAGTATTCTTTTCATTAACACATAATTTTGATTTCCAAAAATAAATAGCAATGACATATCACATAAGAACTCATAAGTCATCAGCACTGTCATCACTAAGGGGTTCTTCATTTAAATCATTATTATGGTGAACTGCTCTCTCCCCTTCCTCCTTTCCTATAGAGTCCAATGTCGGACATTTACTTCAAGATTTATGTAAGTTTTAATATATATAGCGTGAGGCGTAAGCCTCATGCCAGTGAGGCGAGGCGGGCCTCAATACGGGTCTCAACCAAGTTGAGGCGCAAGCCTCATAAAAGAAACTCGAGGCGTAAGCATCGAGGCTTTTTTTACTGGAATTGCGCAAAGGCGGGCCTCAAGGCGAGCCTCATATTGCTCAATTTTAAACCATGGCTCCAACATGTACTTTAAACTCCTTTGATCTGTCCGGATTATGAAATGCCTCCCCAATAGGTAAGAGCACCATTTCTGAATAGCCAAAACAATGGCCATAAGCTCCCTCTCATATACCGACTTTAGTCTAGCCCTTGTTGATAGCACCTGACTTAAATATGCTATAGGTCGGTGATTTTGCCTCAGTACTGCCCCCAACCCATATCCTAACATATCTGTCTCTACTACGAAGACCTGGCTGAAGTCCGAAAGAGCTAAAACTGGAATTGTAGTCATGACTTTCTTTAATTTCTCAAAAGACTGAGTGGTTGTCTCTCCCCATAAAAAAATATCCTTATTCAATTGCTCGGTCAAAGGCCAAGCTATGGTGTTGTATCCTCTCAGCTCCCTTAGGTTCCTAGGCATAGGCATTTCTGCTTTGCCTCAATTTTTTTTGGTCGGCCCCCACTCCCTCCTAGATCACTACATGTTCCAAGTACTCCACACTGTACTGGCCAAAATTGCACTTCTTTAGGTTGGCCCTCAGTTGAAGCTCCTTTAAAACTTCCAAAACCGTCCTCAAGTTCTTTAGATGCTCCTCCTCAATTTTGCTATACACCAGGATGTCATCAAAAAACACCAAAATAAACTTACTGAGGTATTGCTTGAATACTCTGTTCATCAAGAATTGGAAAGTAGCGTGGGCATTAGTAAGCCCAAACGGCATCACCAGAAACTCATAATGCCCTTCATGTGTTCTGAAGGCTATCTTTGAAAAGTCTGTCTCCCTCATCCTGATCTGATGATACCCAAATTTCAAATCCAACTTGGAAAACATGACTGCCCCATGCAATTCATCTAAGAGCTCATCAATCACCGAAATAGGAAACTTATCAGGTACTGTCCCCTTATTCAAAGCTCTGTAGTCTACACATAACCGCCATCTCCCATCCTTTCTCTTGACTAGTAGAACTGGGCTAGAGAAAAGGGCTCACACTTGGTTTGATGATCTCGGCCTCCAACATCTCCCGGATCAGCTTCTCAATTTCGTCCTTCTGAATCTGAGGGTAGTGGTAGGGAGGAACACTGATCGACGACACCCCATCCTTCAAAGTAATGGCATGCTCCAATTCCCTCTATGGTGGTAGGCCTTGGGGAGGTTGAAAGACCTCACTGTAACGCTGTATAGTGGCTATACTGAAGAGGGAATGTTACCCTCCTCTTCCAATCTTACTCCCTCCAAGCGATATAACTCTACCAAATATCCTCCTCCCACCTCCTCTATGGTTATGATTAAGGACTTGAGAGATACTCCAGTCTTTGATAGCACTGCATCACCCTGAATCACCATTTGCTTCCCCCCAACCACTAGTTCCATCCTCAAAGTCCCCTAATTGACCTTGGTCTCTCCCAAGGTCTATAACCACTTCACTCTCAGAATCACATCGGTGCTTCTCAATTCCAAGGGAAGAAAGTTCTCCCTCTCACCTGTATCCCCTAAATGGTCAACACCACTCCCCTACCCATTTCCACCTTTATCATGCCCATCATCACCCCATACCCCCCTGTATCCACTAATTTCACCCTCAATAGATCTACCATCTGGGTGGAGATGAAATTATGGGTTGCCCCACTATCTATCAACACTACCAACTCCCTCTTGGCTATCTCTCTCTTCAGCTTCATAGTGCGATTCGGGGTGAATCCCACTACTGAGTTTAGGGAGACTTTTTCCACATCCAGATGCAACTTCTCCTCTTACTTTATCTCTAATCAACTTCCACCTCCCTCTTCAGCTTCATTGTCATTACAGACGGTGAGAACCTTGAGAGTTAAGTCCTTATACATATGCCCCAGCATGTACTTCTCGTCGCATCTAAAACACAAGCATTTTGTACTTTTAGTATTTTCTTTAACATCTCTTCCATCAAGGCGAACTTCCCTTCTACCTTTTCATTATTGGAAGTAATCTGATTTTGGAAATCAGAAAAATTTTCCTTCAAATCTGATTTTAGTTGCCTGATTTTGCCTACCAAGACTTCAACTTTCTTCCCGGCCATCTTTCTTCCCAAGAATTCCAAGAGATCTTCTTCTGGATGCAAAGAAACTGCTGAAATTTCAAAATTTCAGCCGCCGATGGTCCCAAGTCAATGCTCTGATACCAATTTGATAGGAAATACTTGAGTTCACAAGTAACCCTAAGGGAAATACTTGAGTTCGCAAGCAATCCTAACAATAATTGGCAAAAACAGCGGGGAAACACAAGAACTTTGATGCACAAAGCTCTCCAACACAGTAGATTGCACTATAGGAAGAAAAACAAGACAAGAAGAAAGCAAAGAGAAAAGTGATCCTCGATTCGAGAGGAGGATCGTTCTCTCCCAAAATCTAGACAAGGAATCTAGAGCCTGAAACACCCAAAAAAATCTACAAGAGAAACAAATCTAAGCATGCCTTCACCCTTCCCTTCATACCTATTGATCAGGAAAGGGATTTGAAATTCAAATTAATTTGGATTCAAATTAAAAACTTTCCAAGTTAACAAAAGATTAATTTAGGAAGGTAATGAAAATGCTATTTTGAATTTGAAAATTCAAACTTGTACATGAAGAGGGGGGCCGGCGGTTTCAAGGAGAGGGTGGGAGGGAATATATTTCAAAGGGGTTTCCTAAATAGAACCAATTAAATTAAATATGTGATTTAACAATCTATTTTTAATTTAATTCTAATAGGAGATTGATTGAAGAATTGAAAACTATCCAAATATAACTTGTACTAAATTAGGAAAGATTTCAAATTTGAATTTGATTTCAAATTTGGATTAATAATCCTTCCAAATCTAACACAATCTATATTAGGAAAGGAGTAAGGGCTAGGGCTAGGGAAAATTTTGGAAACAAGTCTAGGGGAGGCTAGCGGCTAGGATCTTTAGGTTAAGGTTAGGTGGCGGTGGGGTTCAAGGTTGAGCTAGCCGGCGGTTGGGGTGGGGGTGGGGGTGTGGGGAGGAGAAACGAAAACTTGTAGTAGAGAGGGGATTGGAGCCGGCGGTAGAGAGAAGGGGAAGGTCGTGGCCGAGAGTTGAGATAAGGGGAGAAAAGAGAGGGAAGGAGACAAGGAAAGAAGATAAACCGTGAGCCCGGACACATCATGCGGCTGACGGGTGATGCGATGCCCTCACCTAGGGACTTCAACCACGAGCCCAGATACATCCTGCGGCTGGTGGGTATTTCATTGCACTCACTTAGGGATTTCATTCTCCTAAGAACTCTCATAGCTCTCAAGAACAAGATGTATCAATAATTTTTTTATTAATCCATCATTGTCTAATACAAGAGCAAGGACCTCTATATATAGGCCTTAAAAGAAACTAAAAGACAACTTGGCCCCTTGGGCTTATATAAGATAAGACCTTAAAAATGAAAACGGCATAATTAATTAAAAATATAATTACTAAACTAAGATAAAAATGGAAGGATCTCGGCCGTCGATCTTTGTCTCTTCCTTTGATTAACTTCCACCGTTGGATGTCCGTATCACATATTCTTTGATAATAATTTTATATAGAATATCACTACTAAAAAACTTAGGATGAGATGCCTAAAGAAACACGAAGAAGTCATAATTATCAGTTTTCCAGAAATTGCTACAGTGCTAAATACGGGAAATAGGAGGAAAACATCTAGCTATCAACGGCCCCCTGTCCATAAAAAAATAGGAGCAAAAACTGTAACCCAGTTGAAGAAAGAAACAAGAGTAAGCACTTGAATAGAGAGATTCCAAATGAACGGCATCTGAAAAGAGAGGTAATTACTGAATTCATGTCTAAAGTACAAGCACGAAATTATTAAAAATGTAATGCAAGAAATTTTGCAGTCCCACAGCTCGCAGCAACACGGCCTAAAATAACGAAATCCGAAGGACTCAAATAGAATCTGTAACCATTACTAAACCATAACAGAGAACCCACCACATGCTGAAACAAGGATCTGTAAATAGCTGAGCTAGGGAATACAAAAGCTGAATCTAAAATAGCTTGTAGAATTGGACCCAATCCATCAAAAACAATCAAAGCACTAGAAAACACATCCCATTCTCGTAGGATCCAACGTTATTAAAATGAACTAAGAACATGAAAACTAAAACAAAGGAAAAATTTTCATTTCCAAGAGTACCTCTTTATATCATTTCACAATTGGTCTTGTCTGTTTTGTAATTTTCTTTGATCTTTATCTTATAATCTTGCTTTCAGCATGCCTTTTCTGTTAGTGCTCTTTAATCAGCTAACTTGGTGTAGACTTATTTATGGAAGAGAAGATTTAAGTCAATAACTTGTTATAATCGGCTACCTGTGAATGCTTACAGGTAATTGATTCAATTGTTGCTAGCCGAGATGAACTTGGTCCCTGGAGTCTTGATTTTTTCAGAAGAAACCATGGGTCTTCTTCATGGCAAATTGATGAATTGGACAACAGCGCCCAATCCAATGTTACTGCAGAAGATGTAGTCGTTCTTCCACTGTTATATCTAACTTCACCTTTACAGAGGTGTGAGTGAGAATGTAGAGATTGACATTTTTTTTTCCTTCTGAAGGCAATACAAACAGTTGCTGGTGCTCAACTTAAAACTTCCCAGGGTACATCAGAACATGATGCCAGTTTCCATGTTTCCTCATCTAAAGATAAAGGGGTCAAAGATGAATCCGGTAACATTCTTCCTTGGTCCAAAGATTAATCTAATTTGCCATGACTGTATTTGCTAAATTTTCTTTTCTTTCAAAATATAATTTGAGCTTGAGCTTGAACAAATGCAGCCGAAAACCAACTTCCAGATTCACCAGCAAAATTAGCTCGAAGGGTATGTTTCATTTTTAGGTAGTTGGTTTGGTATTTTTTATATCCTTATCATTTGCTCTGTATTTTAATTTGCTTACACTTCGGAATTCTTTTGTTTGTTAAATAGGTTATTCTAATAGATTGTTACCATAAAGTTTTGTTACATCATCTTAATAGATGAGCTTATTTTGTTTGTTCTAGGAACTTCTTTCATTTGAACGGCTAAAATAGTTTTTTTTGTCTGTGATGTAGCAATTAAGGGAGAAGCGACGAGAAAAGAGAGTGAAAGAATTGATTCAACATGATAATGAAGCACTAGTTAAACTTGAAAATGCTGCTATGGAGCGCTCTAAATCCGTGGACAATTCAATTCTGGGGAAATACAGCATATGGAGGCGAGATAATGAAAACGAAAACTCTGATTCAACAGTTCGTTTAATGCGTGACCAAATGATCATGGCTAAGGTCTATTCTCTTATTGCTAAGTCTAAGAGCAGTCATAATAAGCTTTATCTTGAGTTGCTGAATCGGCTGAAGGAAAGTCAACGTGCACTTGGAGAGGCTAATGCTGATGGTGACCTTCCTCATAAGTGAGAATTAAGTCTTATTTTTTTCCCTTCTTATCAACTAATCGTTTCATTCTTATTCAGTTATTTATAATTTATTTAACATGCTTTGAGCTAATTATTGTAGTGCTCCTGAGAAGATCAAATTAATGGGTCAAGCTTTGTCAAAATCTAGAGAGGAACTGTATGACTGCAGGGCAATCACTGATAGGCTTAGGCTGATGCTACAATCAGCTGAGGAACAGGTTAGGGGTTTGAAGAAACAGAGCACATTTCTTAGCCAATTAGCTGCAAAGACAATTCCTAATGGGATCCACTGCTTATCTATGCATTTAACTGTTGCATACCACCTTCTACCTCCAGAGAAAAGGATATTCCCAAATATCGAGAACTTGGAAAATCCAAATCTATTTCACTATGCTCTCTTTTCTGACAATGTGTTGGCTGCATCTGTTGTTGTAAATTCAACTGTCATGAACGCTAAGGTAATAAATTATGGGATGTTCCATTGTTTATCTTATTACTGTTGAGAATGCAGGTCACTAGTTCTTAAGATTCAACTTTATTAATATGTTTCATAATTACAGGAGGCAGAGAAGCATGTATTTCATCTTGTCACTGATAAGTTGAACTTCGGGGCAATGAAAATGTGGTTTCTGTTGAACCCACCTGGAAAGGCAACCATACATGTGGAAAATGTGGATGACTTCAAATGGTTAACCTCATCGTATTGTCCCGTGTTACGACAGCTTGAATCTGCTGCCATGAGAGAATACTATTTCAGGGCAGACCAGCATACTAGTCTTTCAGCCAGTTCATCTAATTTAAAGTACAGAAATCCTAAATACTTGTCAATGCTGAACCATTTAAGATTTTATCTTCCTCAGATTTATCCTAAGTTAGATAAAATCTTGTTCCTTGATGATGATATTGTTGTCCAAAAGGACTTGACACGGCTGTGGTCTATTGATCTAAAGGGGAACGTAAATGGCGCAGTGGAGACATGTGGGCAAAGTTTCCATAGGTTTGACAAGTATCTTAATTTCTCAAATCCTCACATTGCAAGGAATTTTGATCCTAATGCATGTGGCTGGGCCTATGGAATGAATATATTTGATCTGAAGGAGTGGAAAAAGAGAGACATTACTGGGATATACCACAAGTGGCAAAACATGGTCGGTACAAGTAAATGATGTGCTTTCTATTTATACTTCCCATCTCTCTCTCTCTCTCTCTCTCTCTCTCTCTCTCTGAATAATATAATGCTTTTGATTTTGAAAGAGAATTAAATTTTCCTTTTTACAATTAATTTGTTAAAATTTTTCTTTTTTACACATTTTTTAATGGAATATCAAAATTTATCATTAAATTAATAGGATTATATGCATTTCATGCTTGTTTAATTTGTAAAATTATTCTATAACACTTTTGCTCTCTCTCACTCACGCGCACACACACACACACATATATATATGTTGTGTCTGATAAGTATTTGTTTCTTATAATTTTAATAATAGATGAGTATCATGTCGATATTTGTATGGGTTCTCAATCGTCATAGGCTGCTAGACTCGCCCTATAATTGCCTGTGTTCGGAACTTCATATTCAGTTTTTACAACTAAAATGCTTCCTTTTTTATGCATTATCTTTTCTTGCCGACATGCGCGCAATCATATTTTGCTTTCCTTGTACTGCAGTGGAATATGTAATGTATTTGTTTCATTCATTCTCTTCTCAATGAATCTACCTGAACTTTCATATACACTTTCATGATGCCAAATAAGTACACCTATGCCGACTGAAGTAACATTCACAAGTTCCAACTGTACGCTACTTATTTGAATGTTCTTCCTCTATTCAAAGGTGCTTATTTGAGTGTAAATTGATTATTGCAACCATTAATATTTCTTTTGTTTTGCCATATGTTTTCTATAATTTAAAGACAATTCATACGTGCTCATCTTCACTACAACTAATTCACAAAATAGTTGATATTTCTGAATTTCCATGCTTTATACACTCTTTCTCACCTGTGAAGAATACTCGAGCTGAAGAATTTCCATTGTGGTTTTGATTGCTTTTCCTTTGCATCAACAGAATGAGGACAGAGTATTGTGGAAACTTGGGACACTCCCTCCTGGACTCCTGACCTTCTACAAGCTGACATTTCCACTGGACAAGTCATGGCATGTTCTTGGCTTGGGCTACAACCCGAGTATAGACCGAACAGAGATAGATAATGCTGCCGTAATCCATTATAATGGAAATATGAAGCCTTGGCTAGAGCTATCATTGACCAAATATAGGCCTTTTTGGTCCAAGTACATCAAACATGATCACCCACACATCCGGAGCTGCAGCTTCAGCCAATAGGTACGAGTGCTTCAATAACTGCATGCTAACTGTCATTCTGCAATTCTACTTTCCACCTATTTGGTTTGTTGTCCTTTTCCCACTTTTATCGGAGTTAGCAGAATAGGTGGACTTCACAATGCTCAGAAGCAATGTTCTGTTTTGGTAGGATGTTGTTTTAATGTACAAGTAGTGCGTAGATATTCATCTTCTTTTAAGGGACATTTTATGTATAGGGCTTTCTTGAGTTTTTCCTTTATAAATGAATTTAATAAAGACCCTCATATTTGTTCCATGTGCTAGATTTGTATTATTGTATTAGGGGTTTCTTGATTGCTTTGGTCTTTTTTAGGATCATTTTAATATATTTTTTTAAAAAACAGAAAAATAAAAAAAAATCATGTTCTTTTAAATATTTTAAAATACAAATGAGTTCATTTGAAACAATAAAAATGTGTAATATGATTATATATATATATATATATGGATAATGTTGAGGGTTGTGCCCAGCTTCATTAATAAATTAAAAAAAAAAAAAGAATTAGTAATATGTGGTTACATGTGGAAACCTGTGAAACAGGGAGAAAAAATCAATATATAAAAAACAAAAGTGCTTTACAAAATTGATCATTCTCTATGAAAAAGCAAGAAGATGGTAAATACGGTTCCACCAAAGAACTATAAATGTGTTCTCATGAGATGATAGACCCCTTGTCAAAGAAGGCAAAAAAAAAAAAATGATGAAATTGGGCTCAATCATGAGATCAATGAAATAGTGGTCGCGGATAGTAATACAGCCATAAAGGCAAAATCAGTAATCATGAAATATCCTATGTTGAAGGCACTACAATATTACAAGTGATTATGGTTTATTCCATGGATATATGACAAAAGAAGGTAAGCATGATTTATTAAAATTCATATAGATATTTTATTAAAATAGGAGTAAGCATGATTTAGAATTTGAAAAAAAGAGTATTCATATAAATAAAGGCAGGCCAACTTAGAATAGTGGATCTTAAAATTATCATAGAGAGTAGACATTCAAATAATAGATTAGTGTGATTTTCCAAATGATCCAAGCGAAGAATGCAATTGCTATCGACAATTATTTCTCTATTTATCGACTTGTCCTTTGTCTTTATTACTTGTTGCATAATTTTTTTGTTAAAAATATTAAAATTTAATGCTATTGTCTTGAACCTATTGTGCTTTGTATTAAATACCATCTGAAATGTAATTATATAAGGCTGAATAAGTTATGTGAGCTATAGAAAAATCCTTATCAAACTAATATAATGTGTGCCTTTGTTGACCTATATATTTATACAAATATATATATATATAATTTTTATGTTAAAAATATTAAAATTTAATGCTATTGTCTTGAACCTATTGTGCTTTGTATTAAATACCATCTGAAATGTAATTATATAAGGCTGAATAAGTTATGTGAGCTATAGAAAAATCCTTATCAAACTAATATAATGTGTGCCTTTGTTGACCTATATATGTATACAAATATATATATATATATATATATATATATATATACACACACACACACATTAA